AGGTGTAAAGGAAGAGCGTGGTAGAATTGGGAGGCAACATTGGAAGGGTAATATGGCAGAAATGGATTAGTCCGAAATGAGAGGCGTGGGTGCCAAGTCAGCTGTGAAAAGTTGTCCGTGAGCGTAAGACGACACCCACACGCCACGTTCCTTAGGCAGAGAACCACGTGGCCCCTTCTGCGAACTCGTTTTACCTTTCCATATACTATCAATATCACACCACTCCTACCACCTACACCCATACACAAACACAACCCAACCAAGAAACAAAACTCATTCCCGTGTGAACACGGATACGCTTGTTGCCCTCCGCGACCACCCTTTCCAGTTTCCACCATCCTTCATTTCTATCCACTTTTCCACCGTTCAACCACACTCCTCTATAATTAATTCCCACACAAAATTCACTCCATCATAAACAACATTATCCTCTTTTTTTCTTTTCAAATTTACCATTCACACTGCTCCATAACGATTCAAATTCATATGCCGTCGACTATTTATTTCTAATTTCCAATTCTAACAACCGTCTTATAATATTTAACTTTCCGCAACGTGCTGTCGACAATTATATTCACGGGAATTAAAAAATATTACTGATGTAGTACCTAAATTAGATGTTAAATACAAAAATGGGTAGTAGTAGTAGTAATAAGTAATAAGAAATAAGAATTGAAATTTAATTTCTCTTACGTTGCCGTGAAGACCACGTGATCCTATGAATTGGCATTCAATTCATATTTCCCTTTTTTCATCACCCACATCCTTATCCTTTCCCACCGGCTACACCCGGTAAGCCTCCCACAGTAACCTAATAAATGAAATCAGAGGGAGTAGAAAGTAGGAAAAGTGAGGAGAGAGGAAGAAATGTGGAGCGTCCGATGACATAAAAAACCGGTTGGGTCTCTCTTCTCTTGGTTCTTATTCTTATCCACGCCAGTGTGATAGTTTTATCGCAGACAAAAACGCCGCCCCCCCTCTTCCATTATGGAAGGTGAAGAATCCACCATCACTCCAACATTTATCTTCCTCTTCCGCCTGTAACAAAACCTCTTCCTTATTTATTCTTTATTCTTTCCGTTAGGGACAATGCTATCGAGATCTTGCTTGGGGCTATTGAATTTGGTATCAGTGGATGACTACACCGGCCTGGGCCGCGTCCCGCGGGTGGTCACGGGAGACGTGCCGGAGTTGGAGATGAACGCCAGGGAGAAATCGGGATCCGACGACGGCGTTTGGGCGGTGTCGCGCGAGCGTAGGATCGTGGTGGCGAACCAGTTACCGATACGCGCGTTTCGCGAGGGGAAGAAATGGAGGTTCGAGTGGGACAAGGACAGCCTGGTGCTTCAGCTGAAGGACGGGTTTCCGTCGGATGTGGAAGTGGTGTACGTGGGGTCGCTGAAAGCGGAGATCGAAGCGTGCGAACAAGAGGAAGTGGCGCAGTTACTCCTGGAAGGGTTTCGGTGCGTGCCAACTTTCATCCCCGCGGAGGTTCACAACAAATTCTACCACGGTTTCTGCAAGCATTACCTCTGGCCTCTGTTCCACTACATGCTCCCCATGTCGCCTAGCCAGGGCGCGCGCTTCGACCGCGCCCAGTGGCAGGCCTACGTCCTCGCCAACCGCATCTTCGCCGACAAGGTCACCGAGGTTATCAACCCCGACGAGGATTACGTCTGGGTCCACGACTACCACCTCATGATCCTCCCCACGCTCCTCCGGAAGCGCTTCCACCGCGTCAAGCTAGGCTTCTTCTTGCACAACACCTTTCCCTCCTCCGAGATATACCGCACTCTCCCCGTCCGCGAGGAGATTCTCCGCGCCTTTCTCAACTGCGATTTGATCGGCTTCCACACTTTCGACTACGCCCGCCACTTTTTGTCGTGTTGCAGCAGGATGCTCGGGATGGATTACGAGTCCAAGAGGGGTTACATTGGTTTGGATTACTATGGACGGAACGTCACCGTTAAGATCCTCCCCGCCGGGATTCACATGGGCCTTCTGGAGACCGTTCTGTCGCTGCCGCAGACGGCGTCGCGTGTTAGGGAGTTGAGGGAGCAGTATGAGGGGCGGGTTCTCATATTGGGGCTCGATGACATGGACTTGTTCAAGGGCATTAGCTTGAAGTTCTTGGCGCTTGGGAAGCTTCTAGAAGTGGACGAGTCTTTGAGGGGTCGTGTGGTTTTGGTTCAGATTCTTAACGCGGCTAGGAGCAGAGGGAAGGACATTCAGGATGTGAAGAGCGAGAGCGAGGCCATTGCGAGGGAAATCAATGAGAAATATGGCCAACCCGGGTACCAGCCTATTGTTTTCGTCAATGGCCCCGTTTCAACCCAGGAGAAAGCTGCGTATTACGCTGTTTCTGATTGTTGTGTTGTGAATGCTGTGAGGGATGGGATGAATTTGGTGCCTTATGAGTACACTGTTTGTAGGCAGGGTACTGTTGCTTTGGACAAGGCCCTTGGTGACCAAGGGGAGGGTGAAAAGCCTAAGCAAAGTGTTATCATTGTGTCTGAGTTCATTGGGTGTTCCCCTTCTCTCAGTGGAGCTATCAGGGTGAATCCTTGGAACATTGACGAGGTCGCTGAGGCTATGAATTCTGCCATCACAATGTCGGAGGCGGAGAAGCATTTACGTCATGAGAAGCATTACAAGTACATAAGCTCTCATGATGTGGCTTACTGGGCTAGGAGTTTTGATCAGGATTTAGATAGAGCTTGTAGAGAGCATTACTCCAAGAGGTACTGGGGTGTTGGCTTGGGCTTGGGGTTTAGGATCGTTGCTTTGGATCCTACCTTAAGGAAGCTTTCCGTGGATCACATTGCCTCTGCCTATAGAGGTTCACACAGTCGGTTGATCCTTTTGGACTACGACGGCACCATGATGCCGCAGGCTTCGATAAACAAGACTCCAAGCAGGGAAGTTATTTCTGTCTTGAATTATTTATGTAGTGATCCTGAGAATATGGTATTCATTGTGAGCGGCAGAGACAAGGATTGCTTGAGCAAGTGGTTTTCTCCCTGTGAGAAATTGGGTCTCTCTGCTGAGCACGGCTACTTCACTAGGTACATTGAATTTTCCATGTTGTAGAATATTAGTAAATGTTGGGTTTTGGTGTTTTACGTTGATATGCTTGTTTTGTTCTTTTTGCTTCTGGGCAGGTGGAGTAAGGATTCTCCTTGGGAGACTTGCGGATTGACGACGGATTTTGAATGGAAAATGATTGCAGAACCTGTGATGGCGCTTTATACAGAAGCAACTGATGGTTCCTTTATTGAACACAAGGAGAGCGCCATGGTTTGGCACCATCAAGAAGCGGATCCTTATTTCGGATCATGCCAAGCGAAAGAGCTTCTTGATCACCTAGAGAGTGTGCTGGCTAATGAGCCGGTAGTGGTTATAAGGGGACAACATATAGTTGAAGTTAAACCTCAGGTATAATCAAATTAAGGCCCGCCTATATGTTGAACTGACAATGCGTATATGCTTGCTTAGACATTATTAGACAATGCTTTTGTTTTGTTTTGAAGACACAGAAAGAAAGATTATCATTTTAATTGGGATCAAATTTGTTTAGAAAGTTGAATTTTGTAATATGGATATTGGTTGAATTATTTGTTGTATGTTTCTGAGATGCAGGGTTTGAGCAAAGGTAAAGTTGTGGAAGACCTTATCTCATCCATGCGAAGCAAGGGAAAGTCGCCAGATTTTCTACTGTGCATAGGAGATGATCGCTCAGATGAAGATATGTTTGAAAGCATTGCTCGTTCAGTATCTAATCCAGTCCTTCCAACCATATCAAATATGTTTGCATGCACTGTTGGACTGAAACCAAGTATGGCTAAATACTATTTGGAGGATTCTAGCGAAGTCATCAAATTGCTTGAGGGACTTGCAACCGCATCAGCCCCACCTTCGTCCGTAACATCTCAGGAATTGCGAGGAGCACTATAGAAAACTGATACAGAAAACAGTCTTGTACAGAATGATACTTTCATAGGTTGATTTTACAAGTTCAATACTTAGAAATTTACAGATTAGCTGATTCATGTTGTTCACCGTTCGTTCAATTTACAGATTTACATTACTTGCTGCAAAATTTCTCTTTTTGTATGACAAGGATTATGAGTTTCTGCACTCTTAAATGAAAACATGCCTAACAGGAAACTTTCAACAGTAAGACAAGGTTTGAGGAGGCAACTAAGTTTCTTGACAATGATCTAATTGGGTAGGTGGATTAGGTCTTGGCAGTGGCTATCAATTTTAAGATTTAAAATTATCGTTACTATATTATTTTCTTGACTGCCTGCGGAAGTTTCCTTGGTCTTGGACTGAGTTAGAACCGAAACTAGCAATGCTGAATTTACTTCTTTTTTATTGTTGGATGGTAGTTGTTGATGTTGCAAATTACCTAGTATAGGAGAAAAATGCAGTTTGTAGTTTAATTAAATTTAGGCACGAGTTTCATATAATGATGCTCAGAGCACGCCGTTGGAGTCCTGAAAAGGTTGGAAGACAGATGCTACAGTGTGTAGTAACAGGCTGGCAAACTTATTTTTCCTTTCAAAGAACTTGTCACAGATGCTACAGTGTGTGGAACAGTTAATTGTGTTCATTCATGACGCGGGATTCGTGTTTTAAAGAACAAAAACGTTTTTCCACCTTACAACATGATAATAATAATAAGTACATTTCAGAGTTTTTTTTTTATATTTAAAATAGAGTATTTTTTTAGAAAAGTTTTAAAAAACATTTGTAAGTTTGTAATCAAATATTTGAGAATTTGTTTATTTAAAATAAAGAATATTTTTTATAATTTTTTTTAAAAATATTTTTAAATTTGTATTCAATTAGAATCCTAGAACCAGGAATGAATTTGAGCATGGGGGGTACTATCCCTCACATAACATCTTCAAAATTGTAATTACCACCTTATCAATAAAAATCACCAGATGTTCAAACCTCGATGCCTTATCTTGTCGAGCCAATTTTTCTAGGTGGTGCATTCTGTCCGCCATGTGGACTTTGGCTTCAATTACTAACAACTTTTTTAGGTGCTTATACACAAGTATTCCTTGATCAAACTCCGATGCAAATAAATAAAGATTAAATAATATACGAATTATATGAATACCCGTAAATCATTAGTTAGGAGGAAGACTACTCGCACCCTGTACCCATTCTTATAAATATGAAAGATATATTGGGTGTTAATGAAGCATGTATTATACCTAAAACTAGTCATAATGTAGAACCAATCATTTGGCAACAGCTCGAATGCAAACTGCATGCTGATATTTTTAGCTTTTGAAATTTCAGCGGGTCGGCAGAGGCTTCAAATCCAATAACCAACCACTTTCTTAAACTTTTCCATATGGAACAATTTCCTTTGGCTATATCTCCAACTACGATATCCATTTTCCACTGACTTCACGTCATTATTTAATAGTCTGTACTAGCAATGTTTATCCACCTAAAAGCAGTTTCATTGGTTGACTTGGAAGCTCAGTAATGAGCTTACCTGGTACATGAGTTGTCTTGGATCCTTACGAGTAACCATCCAATAGCATTTGTCCAGATAAACTAACATTTTGAGCCACGAAGACAACGACTTAGGTAGCATATTCAATTGATGTACCAAAGTATCATGAAAGGGCTCAATCACACAAAAACTATATCTTAAGCAGCTAATGTTATGTTGACACCTAGCACGGAGCGATCTTATCCATGTGACCCATATTCGGGCATCACTTGTTTCTTCACAGGGAGCTGATGGGCAGTGAAAACAAGCTTTTCCTTAAACTAGTAGATAAAGTTATCTTTTATTTGAAAAAATACAACCACGGGTTGGTTCTTGTTCCTTTGGATATCCCAATCCAGTACAAAAATGAGGTCAAACTCACAGAAACGTGTGAGGCAACTTTTCTTCTCTTTCCGTTCCTGAATGTACTACTTATGATGTCTTTCAATTACATTAATTTGGAATGTGATCAATCAATCTAGGTTTAGTCCATATCAACGCTACATATGTGGGCAACGTGCCAAGGATATGATCCACACAATGACAAGTGTAAATCAACCGTTTGGGAGAAGGCTTCAATTTTTCCAACACATCCAAGAGCGCTGACTCATCATGTCCTTGACCCTTGAGGTGTTTCACGCATCACTAGTCCATGTAAGTATCTAGAATGGCGGTACAGGATATATTTACTGGCTTATATTATAGGTGTATAAATCGTCGTTTAAACAGTTTAAATGAGTTTGACTGAGATTTAAAATAATTTGTCTATTTAAACCACTACTAATTCAAGCATATTCAAATCGATTTGAGTTAAATAATTACGGCATGCTTATCATTTTGTTTTATCAATATACATAGATACTAAAAAAATGACGCACATGAAATATCAAATGAAGTCAAGTTTTATTCAAAATTTATAACAGAAAGTTTTTAATTTTTTTAATATTAAACAAATATCCAACCAAATTTAATCTTTATATGCGAATTCATTGATATATTGACCCTCTCCACCTCAACCCACTTTTTAAATGGATTGATCCGTCCTAACCCATCAAATTTGTTGTCCAAAATTTCTTAACCCAATCTGACTCATCATAGATTGTTGGGCTAAATGAGTTGACCCACTAACCCACCTAATTTTTAATTTTTTTTAATTTAAAATAAACTCTAATATAAAATAATCTTTAATTTAAAGTAAAAATTAAACTAAGTATCATGCATACAACATTAAACTTAAATTAAAAAGTGTACAACTTAAAAAAATTAAAACAAAAATCCTTTCATGAGAGTGATTATTCATCAATATTAAATCTTATTAGAGGTTTGAGTAGATAACATTGACTTTATCTTTATCTATAATTTTTTTTTTATTAAAATAGTACATATATAATAATAAATAATTAAGTGAGTTGTTAGTAAGTTGGGTTCATAGGGGTGTAAGTAGATTAGGTGGGCAGCCCGACCTACCACGGGCTCAACCCAGGTGGACTAGGTCAAAAGTGGACCGAGTTACATCGTTCAACCCATTATACATTTTTTCATTTTTTAGTCTGACCCAACCCGTTTTCAAGGTGGGTTGGGTTGGCCCATGAACCAGAGCCTACTTTGACGGCTCTAAATTATATAAGTGTAATATGTTTGGTTTTAACCTTATAATGAATTTATATATTTGTGTTTGATTGTATTAAAATATTAGATTCTCTCAATATTTTTCAAGAATTATGATATAATTACATTTAACTTTATAGTTATAATAAATATATATAATTATGATGTTTAAACCATTAGGCCTTGACTAAGTCGATAGAAAACTAATACAATAATCTATATATATTCAATCAAAATAGTTTATTTTAATCGGCTTTAGACTTGGAGTACATAATCCTGAAGCATTAAACATATAAATGTAAAGAAGTTTATGTAACTAACTGATTTAACTTGCTTTAATCGACATTAAGCCCACCCATGAAGACAAATTACAATGAAATGTTTAGTGAGTAGAATTACAATAAACATTTTAATGTAATTTAATAGATAAAATTGTGTTTTATATTTATTCTAGCTACACTATTTTTTAGGTTAGGCATCTTAGGAACACTTTAGATGTATTTTTATTGTATCACAAAATAATCTAACTTAAAAATTTGCATAATTGCAACAATGCAGCAACATTAATCAACCTATTCTCATTATTTTCTATTATTTCCTAACCAAAATATCAAAAATAATTTCTTTTCATTTAACAAAATGCATTGTATTATATATAATTGTTTGGATATAATCAAAGTCTCATATCGTTCAAACAAGATAATGCACCAACAACTTGGTTGTTCAAACAAAAACAGTTTCTAACTTGGTTGTTCAAACAAAAATAATTTCTAACTTGGTTGTTTTGAAACAACTATTGTTAGTAGTTTAGTTTATGTTTACAATTTTGAATTATTGTATATATCCATGTGTATATGCGTATGATCAGGTTGTAGTCCTATTAAGGGACCTTTCTATGTTCAGTTGATTATTTTTTCCACACACACGCACGCACGCACGCACGCACATATTAGATTTATGGGACCTTTCTATATATTATTGCATGATTATCCACGAATTCGTTTGCATGATAATCCTAAGTAATTAGATTTATGTTTATTATTGCTTAGTGTTGAATTATAAAGAGTAATGATTTGTCGGGTCATTACATACAACATGAACCTTCATCACTTTTGACCATAATTTAAAGTTTGTGTTGTTCAATTTGAATGTCAAAGGTATACTATTGAAATTAGATGACTCAAAGCTACTATTTTAACTTGAGAAAAGGATAGTAGGATTTTCTCCTGCTATTGTAACTTATTTGGTTTTAAGGTTTGTTTGGTTAAAAGAAAGGGATAGAATGAATTTTAATGAAAGAGAGAATGTAGCTCTTTTCTTGTTTGATTCATAAGAGAACATGATGAATTTTAAAAATTATTTTACCTTTGTACTCTCATAGTATTCAAAAATACAAATAAAAAATATTTTAGACATTATACTAAAAATATTTTGAAACCACTCTCCACTCCTCAAAATCCCCCTAATATTGGAGGGGAGTTAAAATTAGATGAGGAGTGGTTCTGCTCCTCTCCATTCTCCTCATCTCCTAAAAATTGAATGAAACAAAAAAGGTTATAAATATTCTTCTCCTTTATTCCCCTCCAACCAAACATTGTTAGGATAGTTTAGGATTTATAGAAAGAAAAAGAGCATAATTCGCTTTAATACCTAGATAAATAAATAATATTTTTTGTTGTGTAATATTCACCTAACTATATATAAAAAATCTCATTTAAAATGTAGGAACAATCTTAGTATCTCTAAGAGAAATTTTAAGGATTCTAGTTATACAATTTAAGAAATTATATATTTATCTCATTGGTTCATGGCAACAAGGTTTAATGAAAAATATAATTAAACAATATTTCTAAAATTGTTAAATTTTTAAAATGAATTTTAAAATTGTTGTATTAAATATAAGAATTTAGCACTAAACTTTAAAAAAAAATCTCCCTACTAAATACATCATAATATTAAACTCACTTTACTTGGAGAATGAATTGGTAAAACATTTTGCAATGAATGAAATTAATTCTATTTGATAATATTCAGACCTCTTATGAATTAGT